GCACCAACATACACAGATATTGGCTCGGCAAATGTCAGTTTTGGCACCTACAACACTTTGTTGAACTTTTCGGTTTTTTCTTGTTTTTTTTTTTTTTTTTGGTGTTGCGTGAGTGAATATTTTTGTTTGCCAATGCCAGGGGGAAGGTCCTGAAAAGGGGAGGAGGCGGAGCCCAAAAGCTTTCACACACTTTCCCTTGGCGTTGTGGATTTTGCTTACAAATTAACATATAAATTGATTTTTCGCAGCAGCAAAGTGTTGAGCTTTTGTAAATTGTCAATGTGGGCCAAAGGTGGCAGACTTGTAGGATCGTCGGGAACAGCATTTGAAGTCCATGTTTTTTCTTTAAAATGCAATATTTTGTTTACCAGTGAGAGCGATTAAGATTCAATTGCAAATGTTCAGTAATTGTTATATCATGGCTTAAACTCCTTTGGCCCGCCCAAGCCCGTAAATCGTTTTAGCGCTTTTCCTGAGGAACTAGGTCAGCCGGAAGTTGTATAAATTACAACCCCTCCTTTGCCCTAAAAAAGAACGGAAACTGGGCAACCACATGCCCAGCTTAGACTTATTATGGCCAAGATATCAGTAGAACTGCAATTGTTATCTTTAAAATAGCCACAAAATCCATTTAAACTATACAACAAAGGCTGGAAATAAACAAACAAAGCTTAGGCCAGGCCTTCGGGCCATCTTAGATCCAGGCAAAGTTCTGGCCAAGTTAATTACACTTAATACGCATGGAGTAATGGTGAGCGTGTGTGCGTTACCACTTCTGTGTGCCAGTGTGTCTGTGTGCGAATGGCTTTGACCAGAAAACCTGTTTGGTTATTTGGTGATTTGTGTTTAGAGTATGTACAAAATATCCCTGCCAAAGGGTTCGAGGGCATTGGTCGGGATTTGTGTGTGTTAAGAGAAAATATTGGGTAGTTATTTGCCCAGAGATAAGCATAAGATATTGCATACTTCTCAGGGAAGGAAGTGCTGGACTAAACATTGGCTTTAAAATATGCACTGGAGGAATGTAGTTCATTAAATTCAACCCGAGCACAAAGTAAAACGGAAAATACCTGAAATAATACGTAATTATATTTACATAAGAGTCTTAATAGGACAAAAAATACTTACTCATCCAAAAGTTTCACAAAAGATAAGCAAAATCATTTGCGAACAACTATTGGGAAAAAAGACTTATTTCCATTTAAGGTATCCAACATTCGTATCTAGCTATTAAAACTATGAAATCCTCTTTTATTTACTTGCCGAGTCAGTCGAAAGTGTGACCATTAAATATTTTGGCAAATGTTCGGGTGTAATCACCAGCAGAATGACCAAGGATCACAATCCAGACGGAGGAGCTGGGTTGTAGCAACAGCTGGCCAAATTATTCTAATTGCCAGTCAATGGACGTTGCCTGGCAAAACAAATTTAAAATTCCATCAATTTGGCAAAATAGTGAGAGGGCCGAGAGATCCGAATCAAATTATCCTAAAGACGTTGACATTGCTCTTTGTGTGCCGGATCTGGCAAATAGAAAGTTTCCCAAGAAGTCCTTTGTTCGTTTCATTTGTTGCAGTCCAGCAAAATTGATTTGTCAAGCAGCCACATTAAAAATTGACAACTAGACAAATACCAAACGGAGCAGGCCGGGAAATACGTGTAAGGTTTTCCAAGATGAATGGCCGTCCCACATCATCTTCGGGGCCAGCTGGCAGGCCAAGTCTGTTTGTAGTCAATATTTTATGAGTTTGAATTAATTTGGAGACGAAGACATCTCCGCAGCTGCTCGATTCGTGGCCAGGCACGTTTCGGTCCTGTCCATTGTTTGTCAGCCGAGTTTTGCAGTTTGACATATTTCCACAGTCCACTTTGGCTTGGGACACTCAAAGTTTTTGTACGTTTTTCGTTGGCACGGTATTATTAGTTATGCAAATTAATGTGCATGCATGCGTGAATGTGAATATTTAATTCCGACTCTACGAGGAACCTGTGACAAAACACTGGGATCCGCTCTTTTTATGGCACAACCCGAAACGAGCCATATAAATGAAGCAAGTTGGCAACGGCACATTTGATACCAGGGATTTGAAATTGGCTAAGTTTTCAATGGCAAAGAACGTGCCTGAAAATACGGAGAATTTATACCGAAAGTTTTGAGCACTGCTAGTTTCAGCTCAAAGACTTAAATTTATGTCCATCAATATTTAATTGGCCTATTTAGCCAGCTCAACGCCTAATCTCTTTCAACCTAATGACCAACAAAGTTCTCCATGAATCACCTGCCATTTCGAGATGCCTTACTAATGCATGACTCTGATTGCCTTTCTTGTGGTTATAAACCACACTCGCAAGGAAACACATATCGACTGCCTGAATCGTTTACTTTATGCACAAGCACTTCCGAACCACATAGGAAATTTTATAACAAACATTAATTTTGGTTAATAACTTTATAAGACAAACTAGCCAACTTATGTAGATATCAAACGCCCGCTCGCATGCGGATGTTCCGCCCTATGCCACAAACTTTGACTCAACATTTTTCACACAATGTTCAAGGGGCATCCAGCCAGCGGGGTCGAGTTGGGGCATAAAATAGAATTGGAATAACCATACGATAAGCCCAATTTGTGCGCAGCTTTAGTGGAGCATTAGCCAAACATAAAGCAAAGATAGACGCCACCATATTTGTGCGTTGATGTGCGTCACTTCCGCTTGTAATTGTAGCTACAATGTCACAATCACTAGACCATATAAACGCGGCCAGAAGGACGCGGGGTGTGGGTGGATTGGGGGTTCGGCCATCCCTCGCACACATAAACAACCAGCACACTCACCCACACACACACTTCCTATGAGGCTGATATGAGGCTGGCTTTGTGTGCGCTTTTAAGTGGTTCTGCGTCTTGCCCACTCGGGCTCCATTCCACCCAAGTGAAACTTAGACGATGCACTGTGGGCTGCAACTTAGTATTCATGGAGAAAATACCACAAAAAAGAAATATATTTCAATAAATTTACACTTTTTTTAAGGCATACCAAAAATAAAATTTAATTTTTACAAACATTTATAAATTTTAGAAAAATTTGTATTTATTATAACTTATTTCAACGTTGAAGGTCAGAAAATGTTATTTCGAATTGTCGAACATATTGGTATATTATTAATCAGTAGGGTCACGTTGAACATTTTTAAAGAAGGGTTTTATATTATAAAATGAATTTTTATTTTTAATCCTTCAACAACAAATTTTCTAAAAATAAGGCACCTTTCATTTAAATATAGATATATGTTCTTGTTTTTATGTCCAATTTTAGTTTAAAGCAACAAATTGGAGATTTAATAAAATAATTCTTGAGTTAAACGATGCAGATTAAGTTTCGTTTCAATTTTGGTTACGTCAATTACATAATAACAAAAATTTTAATTTTGGGAAATCAACATAGTCTAAATTCTGGGTAATTATAGTTTTAAAATGAGTTTGGTCCCACTGTGCGGTGCCTGGAAACCTCAGCCTCGCAATCCTCGCTCGTACTTGCCACTTTGTAAGTAGCCACACCCACAACCAAATTCGTATCCCGAAGATACTCGGCATTTGGGAGATATGGGTGAGCTGGTGTGTGGGTCCTCTGCATTGCCTTGGCAATATTTACAAGTCACTTGTTTTTATGCCTACATTAATTATGCGCGCCTCTGACTTTGGTTTTTGGTCGGTACCGGGTGCTCGTCTTTGATTTTGATGCCGTTGCCACAATTCCTGCTTGGCTTTGGTTTTTCTCTCAGTTGCTGTCAACGATGTGGCTGCTTGAGAGGAAGCCCCAGTACCAGGACCCGGACCTCCCCATCCCCACCCACTTTCGGGGCCATATTTTTGCCAACCTTAGACGACTCTCGGTTGGGCGGGCTTAAGGCATTTCCAATAAATTTCGACACTCATGTGGAGCTGCTGGTGCGGAGCTGGTTTAAACCCTGCTCTTAATTGCTCGGCGCTGGAAAGTGTCTTTCGCCTCGGGCCAGCTATCTACAGCCTTCTACAGCTGCTCATAAATGTCAGGTCGAGGTAACAACTGGCTGCATTAACTGACCCAGTTGTGCCTTCCCTTTTGGCGCTCGCAGCCGTTCTCCGTTTGCGCCCTTTAATGACATTATTGCGCACTGAAACGTATAATGCGTCAGGGCCCGGGTTTCAGTCCGGGTTTCATTCCGGGCTTCAGTCCGGGCCTTGTGTTAGCTTCGCTTTGAGCGGGGCTGTGACCTTGCCGCGCCTTGATGTGCTCATTTCGGGCAGACACTGCGTATGCGTGATGTGAGCATCTTGAGACCTGCGAACAACCTTGTGATGCAACGGGCTTTGTTGCCCAACTCAAATTGTGGCTGTAAAGCTGTCATTGCATATGCGAAAAGCGTTTGCATTTTGCTGGGATTTTGCCTTTGACTTGCGATAATTACATTCTGCCTTACTGAATTTAGAAAATGGTTCATATTCAAGTTTTGTTTGCTTAAGTATTCCTTTAGAATTTTAAATATGAGTTTGACTTGCAGTCAATAATTGGTCTGAATTTGTCTGATTAGTTTGTTCCCTATTTATTATTTGTATGTACTTTTCCAACAATTTCTTACTCAATTCAAGTTTTAAATACATATTTCTAATGAAATAGCTCAGGCTGCGATAATTTTAATCAACGAGATGGTATTTATCTGCACTTTCATTCACTTTGTTTTACACCCAACGCAGTTCATCTCTCTTTTAATTTTCTTTCAATACTCCAACACACCTAGCTCGGCATTTCCTCCGGCTTCAGTTGCCTACTTAGCGTCCCATTTGCATTTCCCTCGGCATTCGTCGTTATCCCGGCATTATCCAGCTGGAAAAAAGAAAAGGCTCCATCTCCATCTCTCTATTTAATATTCAATCGCTGGAATTGTTTGCGCCCCTTGTTGGCAATGCAGCGCCTGACCATTCGGACTAAACAAAAGGCGGCATAATTTAGTTTTTATTAAATTCTTCAGTTTAATGCGTTTTATTCGGTTTAATTTCTCTCTTATCCTTTTTACACTTTGCTTCTGTTATTATCTTTATGCATTTTAATTTTAATTTAACTTAGAAAACTAATTTATAACTAGATTGTGTGTCTTCCCATTGTTCTTCTGACGTTTACCCACTCTGCTATCCTTTAAATGTTCTGCGACCTTGTGTGGCCATTATATTCGGTTTATGCGTATATGTTCTGCTTTGCCTAACCATTAACTTAATGCTAAACATTCTCTTTATATTGTAGTGTATGCCATATAATATTTAAAATTATTCTGCCTGCAGGCAATTCTTTTGTTTAATATACCTTTAAGTGTGTGTCTGTGTTTCGGGTTGAGATTTAAACAGTTTGCTAGGCTAAAATGTTTTTCTGTGGTATTTTTGCATTGTTAATTTAGTTTCTGCTTCTATATTCCTTTAGGTGCGTCTGCCAACTAACTCACTTGGTGAAAATAAAACTTAATCATTTGCTACATACACAAATCATTCCGAGTACGAGTTTGTGAGTGTGTCTGCAGGTGTTAGTGTTTGCATTGTTCTTACGTCTAATGATTTATTTATGCAATTTACAATATTCCATATTGTGCTTAAATGATTGCTTCTGCCCTCGCCTTCTCATATGCAGATTTCCATTTGCTAATTGTAAGCTTTTTGGTTTTTACATTCTTCAAAATACTTTGCAAACATTTTGCAATATCCTCTTCATTCGATTTTATTTCAATTTATGTTACAGTGGGAAAATTTGAACACTTTACAGAACATTCACGTTAAAAGGGAAAGCTTGGGCTCCGCTTAAACGATCTCTATGGCCTACATTTACATACAAGTCTCAAACAGTTGGGGCTATCCTATATTTAGTTAGTTCTTACAATGTTAGCCGTCTAATTTACGATATCTACTTTAATGTTACCCGGAAACGCTTGTGTTCATGTCTGTTCGATTCGATACAACAAACTTAAGGCGGGAGAATCAAAGTCTGGATGGGTGAAGGTGAAGGGTTAAGGGTTAAGGGTAAGGGAAAAGGAAAGGGATTGCTTAGGACCCAGAGAAAGTTCTGTGGAGAGCCAGTGCGATAAATTATTTAAATACAACACTGGAGCGGATGTGGCCCGAATTAAAATTTCATAAAGTGGAGCACACTACAAAGGGGAAGCCCTTAATGCCACTCGCGATTTTCGGCCGGAATACTCGACTTAGCCCTTCGCTGTGAAAGGTTCAACAGCCGGAGGTCCTCGAGCCGGAGTCCTTTGTGTCGCGAGGAGCAGGTGTCGCCATGGCGAAAACACATGCCACTTGGCTCTGAAGTGGATCCGAAGGGGTGGCTCTGGGTGACTGGGTCTTCCCCGTCGATTGTCAACTAACAACGCCTCCGAGAGCACGACAACTCAATCGGCACCGTCACACACACAGGAACCCCCACATGTCTAGTCGTAGGCCCGGGATTTCTTCAACCCCCCCTCCTCGGTTGCCTTCTTTCTTTCTTTCCTTCTTGGGGCATTGTTCTGCGGGGAAGCTGCTGAAAACTTTATATTAAATGAAAAAGTTTTTCAATTACATCTGCGGAAATAAAATGCTGCCAGCTTGCCACTCGAAGCACGCAGCAAACAGAAACAAACAACGACAAGAGGCTTTTGTTTAGCGGCGTCTTTGTTTTTCGGCTTTATTAGGTTAGGTCCGCCTATTGTTCTGCCAAATACCCTAAACGCATGGAGTCCTGGGAAAAAGTGGTCAAAATGGTGGCAGGAAGTGTCAAATTTCAGGGGGCTACCAACATTTTCCATCCTAAGAACTTGAATTTTTGGTAGCTATTTTACCTTCAACATATACCACTTGAATAACACATGCTGACAGAATTAAATCTTAAAAAAAAGAAATCAATCAGCAATCAGAATGTTTTCAAAACACATCGAATTTTTAAATAGGCTAAGTTTTACCTATACCTTAAATAAACTTTATCGAAACGCTAAGAAATCAAAACTCAAACTTGGGTATTTGAACTTCGGCTTGCCGGTGAATTCCTGTTCCTGCGCTGCTTTTATTTGGTTTTCTGGGCCTTCTTCTTTTCGGACTCGCAACTCGAGCTCTCCTCTGCCAATTATTAGGTTAAACTTGGGTCTGCCTTTTGTTTGCTTGTTTTTTGCGGGCAGGCCAGCAAACAGAGAAGGTAAAACGGGGAAAAAGGGAAAAGTAAGCGAAAAGTAAGCGAAATCAGGGGACGGAAACAAGTGAAGAGTGAACTTAGGCTATGAGTGGTTTGCTGATCAGCCAGGCCATTTACAGAGCCACTGAATCGTCTAAGGCCGCTTCGTCCCTGGCAGGCTGCTGGCCGGGTCAAATGTCGCTGGTCTCCTGCCCGTCGCCCCCGTACCCCTCGTCGGGGCTGTCGGCCAGGGGCCCATTAAGCTGTTTGAGTTTCGCGGTGTCCGGGTTGTTCTCCTCCCCGCCGGCAGGTGGCGCCGCCGCCCCAGCAGCCTCCTCCAGACGCGGCGAATTCGCCTCGCTCTCGTCCAGCTCCGGGATGGTGGATGTGGCTGTGCCTGTGCCCGTGGCTGCCGGCGGAGGTGGTGTACCCAGAGTCGGTGTGGCCACCGCCGGCTGGCTGGTGGGCGACTGGGCGAAGCGGTAGCCGGGCAGACAGCTGGGCCACTGCTGAAACGGCGCCGGCATCACCGCCAGATCGCTCTTGTAGCCCTCTGGCGGCGAGGGGAACTGGTGTTGCTGCTGCAGCTGCAACTGTTGCTGCTGCTGTTGCTGCTGTTGCTGGAGCTGCTGCTGCTGCGGATAGCCCTCCGCCGTGAAGCGCACATTGGGCAGCTGGTACTTCTCGTAGCTCACCGCCGGACCCCGCTGGATGAACTCGGCCTCGAGGCTGTAGCGCAGGGTGGGGTTGCCGTTGACGCTGCCGCCACCCAAGTTTCCGCCTGCCGCCGCCGCCGCCTGGAACTGCTGCTGCTTGTGCAGCCTGTTGTGTGGCAGCGTGCGGTAGAAGTTGGCGGCGGGCTGCACCTGTTGCTGCTGCTGGTGCTGCTGCTGCTGCGGTGGCTGCTGCACCAGGTGGGCACTGCTGTAGTCGTAGGCGAAGGATCCGTCTTGGCCCAGGAAGCACACCGGGTTGAGGTGCACGTCCACCTGGTGGGGAGCCGGCTTCAGTTGCACGCCGCGCGGCAAGGTGGTCATCGCCTGGGCGAAGCGCCCCATCAGCGGGTGTGCCGCGTGCGGATGCTGGTGTCCCGGATGCGGATGCGGATGTGGGGCGGCGGCCAGCTGGTAGCAGCCCTCGTACTGACCGCAATCGCTCTGCGTCTCGTACTCCCCGGCGCCGTCCAAGCTCACGGCCGTCTTGAGCTTGTGCTTCACGCTCTCCGCGTCGTTGACCAAGTCCGGGTTCTTCTCCTGGTAGTTCCTCAGGGAGGCGGGGGGCGAGCAGTAGGCCGCAGCCAGGCCATGGCCATTGCTTAGGAGCAGCGGTGGGGAACCCGGTCCCGTGCCCATCAGGTTCACGTTCAGCTGCAGCTGCTGCTGGCCGGGATTGGGCGTGGCGTAGAGCAGCAGGTTCTGCTTCATCTGATTCCCCAGGATAATCCCTCCGCCGGCTGCTCCGTTCGCCGCCTTGGTGGGTGTCAAGGTGTCACCCATTAGGAGTCCCGCATTCGCGTTCAGACTGTCCCCGCCATCGTTCAGGATCGAGGCGCACTTCATCATGCCCATGCCCGTGTCCTGGTTACTTCCCGTGGATGAGTCCGTGCCGCCGGCAATGCTCGTCACCTGGTCGCACTTCTTCCGCTGCTTGGCCGGCTCCGAGGGCTTCTTGCACTTGACCACGATGGTGCAGAGGAGCACCACGAAGATGATGCCCCCGCCGGCGCTGCTGGCCACTATGTAGTTCATGTAGTCCCTGGGGAACGAGACCTCGTTCACCACCGGCGGCTCCTTGATGATCACCCGCAGGGTGTAGTTGCTGAATGTGGTGCCGGCGATGTTCTGGCCCACGCACGAGAAGGTGCCGTTGTCCTCGGCGCCCACGTTGTAGATGAAGATCTCGCTGCGCTTCTCCTCGGCGCCACTGCCTCCGATGGTCTCGTCGATGTAGTAGTACATGTGCAGGTTGTCCACCAGGCTGTCGTTGCTCATCACCTGGCCGTTGAACAGCCAGAGCACCTTCGGCTCGGGAATGGCCCGCACCAGGCAGGTGATCGACATGTTCCGCCCCTCGCTCACCTCCGTGTAGCTGGACTGGGGACTCACCTCCGGCAGACAGGCCAGCTGCTCCCGCTGCAGCCCCTTGATCACCTGGCCCTTCAGCCGCGCCGGCTCCATGCACTTGGGCTCCTCCGCCAGCGGCGTGTTGTAGTTGACCAGCCAGGAGTGGATGTCCAGCAGGCGGCAGTCGCAGTTCCATCGGTTGCTGTGCAGACTGATGCCGTGCAGCGACTTGGGCAGGATGTGGGGCCCCTGGATGAACCCGATCCGGTTGCCGTCCAGGCGCAGCCACTCCAGGTTGTCCATGCCCACGAAGGCCTCGTTCTCGATCCGCTCCACCTGGCAGTTGGACAGCTCCAGGGTCGTGAGGAAGGACAGGTGGCGGAAGGCCGATGTCTTCAGCTCCCGGATCGGGTTGCCACTCAGCGAGAGGCGCATCAGGGAGCTGTAGTCCTGGAACGTCTCGCTGGGCACGTTCTGCAGCGCATTCTCGCTGAGGTCCAGCTCCACCAGGTTGGTCAGGCCGCGGAAGGCCTTCTCGTGGATGCGGATCAGCTGGTTGCGCGACAGGTAGATCTTCTGCAGGTTGAGCAGGTCCATGCGCAGGAAGCGCTCCGACTGCAGCACCTGCAGGCTATTTCCGCTGAAGTTGAGCACCTGCGTGCCCGGATCCATGCCCTCGGGCAGATTGGACAGCTGCTGGCCGCCGCACTCCACCGTCTGCTTGCCGCCCTTCCACTTGCACACACACACCTCGGGCGGACAGGCCCAACTCAGGGCTAGGAGTGCCAGGAGTGGCAGGAGCGGTGTCCAGCGTTGCACACCCCTCATTGTCTCAAGTGGCTGCCTCTTGGTTCGCGGATTTCTCTGTGTCTAGTTTGTTGGGCTCTGGCTTTAGCTCTTGGGTAAATATTGTCGCCAGCTGGCTCACGTTGGCATGTCAAATTATGCAGCGCTGTTTTGTGCGCGAGTAAATGTTATTAGCCGATCGGACGCTGTCACGTCTACTCGAACAGAGTCGGGCCATAAAAGCCGAGCGTCCCGCACTTTAGTCGCTGTCGCCGGGCCGCCCGTCATTGTAATGGCGCCGGGGCTTTTGTCATGGCTGCCACTTCCGCTTCCACTTCTACTCCTTCAGCGGCCTTTGTATTAATTTCATAAAAATGCCAGGCTCTTGATTCTCGCTCCACAGCGCCCAGAAGTAGGCAATGGAAATGGGCTCGGGGGCTATTGTCGCCTCTTGCGGCTTTCTCACTTTCTCCGCACGCCTTTCTCCGCTTTCCTCTCCCCTCTCCCTCTTATCTCCCGGCAACGCTGTTTCACTGCCGGCAAAGAAAGGCTTTTGTCCTTAATGAAATTATAATGTAATGCATTTGCGAGTTCTTGTCGAAGTTGTTTTGTGCCTCCTTAAATGCCGGGTTCTGGAAGAAAATTAAAAAAGTCACCAAGAAAGGATTAGTAAAAGGGTCTGGAAATAATTTAATATTATAACGAAGATGTCCTTATATATTGTATGATTTTTGTACAAAATATTTCGAAACAAAGTGCGCTTGAGCAGAGAGTTAAAGTTATGTAAAGTGCTAATTATATGTCTGAGGTAATAATTTCCAACATTAGTGCAGGTTTTTTGACTGAATATCAAGCCACTATATATAAAATTACAACTTTTTTTTGATTAGTCATTTATTTTCTTAAGTTATATAAAATTATCTACCTGTGTATGACCACTGGATTATTTTAAATCAATTATTTTAGGTTACAGGTTATTTTAAATGTAAATGATGTATCATAAAGTAATTATTCCTAACAATGGTAAAAGTTGTATTTATTTGCTGTTGAAAATGACACCCAAAGTTTAAACAACATAATATAAATTTAAATTTCGTGAAACCAATTTCCCCTTTTCGATAAATCATTTATTATCTTTGTGCATTTGTAAAACTAATTTAAAATCTATGACCCCGTCGATTTCGGATTTATAAAATGCGATTAAATTAACAAAAATGTGGCTCGCAAACATTTTACTTTAATCCTTACACATTTTATGTATTCTCTGATTAGAGTCAAACAAATTTTCCGCCGTGCGATTAGCACACAAATAAATTGAAAATAATTTTGCTCATTATCTGCCTGACATAGACCCATAAATTAAACGCAGCAGAGGTAATATATTCCCAATAATAAGCTCACTGCCAGTTTCTGTGTCTGAGCGGGCTGATTTATTTTTAACAGTTTACAACGGCAGCTGCAGGCTGCATTTCAACGAGCCTTCTCAATTATTCAAGTGTTTGTTTTCTTGCATAATAAATCGGATCGAATCGGATCGGATCGGTTCAATTTCAGCTCACGAGTGAATCAAGGGCCACAACAAGCTAATTATTGCACTCTTTTCCCGAATCGATATCGCAGTTATGTAAATATATATCCGGGCTGGATGAAATGAAATGTAAATCGCACTCCCAGCATTGACACAGCGAAAGTACCAATTGAGTGCGCATTGTCCGACTTTAATTGGATGGAAATGGATTGGTCGCTTTGTTGATATAATCCCAATCATTTGCTGGCCCCATTAAGAAGCATCATTATGTTTCCACCTTGTCCCTGCTATTATTTTCTTATTATTCATATTTTTATGAGGGCAGTTCATTAAATTCCCCAGGTCCAAGCTGACATTTATATTTGTCAAAATTAATCTAAGTGAAAAACAAAAGGCATACCAAAGTAGAGCAGGAAACGAGAGCAATAAACAATTGAAAATGTCAGGCATAAATCATGCAACATATTGCACGATGCCTTAGTTAAATAACAGATAAATTACAGGAAAATTAACTTAAATGCAGGTTTATTGTGCGCACCGAGAAACTGTGTGTACGTGGAAGCCACCATAAAACAAAGCCCCGGATTTTGTCTCACTTTCTGGGTAACCCAAGATGAGCTGGTCGCTGGACAAAAGCGGATCCTAAGAGATTCCGGCGCTTCATTAGCTTCCCCCACGCCAAAAATAACAGACCGTCTCGAATTTCAGTTGGCTGAAAACGAACTGAACCGTCTGGCGCCAATGCAAATCCGTAATGGATACTCGGCTTCCAGCAAATTGACTTGATTTGGCAGGCACCTGAAGTCTGTTTTTCGACCGACAGGACGACATTATTAATAACCGAGCATTAATCACGACCTGCGACTTTCTATGGCCTAATGCCGCCGCAGCTGCTTTCTTCTTTCGGCTTTCACTCAAATGTTTGGTGCTTAGCAGGAAATGTAAGTCGTGATTGTAATGATACACCGGCCAGGTGAGGATACTTAAGGCCCTGACTTACACACAATGGGAGCTTGTTAATTAGGAGAATGTAATGGAACCGATATTATGTAAAGGAAACTCGACATAACACGCATATTGCACACTGAAATTTACTCAAAAATAAACTGCGATTATTTAGATTTTCCATTGGTCAACTGTAGATATTTGTATTGGCTTTTGCCTAATTGAACAATTTAATAGTTTTTTCCTACTGTTTTCGTTTAGTTTATGCCGAATCGAAATTTTAATTAAATTTCGGAAATGCCTCTCTCTTTCGCAACTTCTGCCCAGAGATAAATGGAAAATGTTCTTTCTCATTTGGTTGGCTTGTCAGCAAACATTTTTTGACATTTTCATTTGTCAGTTATGAAGCAGACACAGACTCGAGATAGAAAATCCTGGCTCGCATTTGTGTGAGTGGAGTGTGCACATTTGTTATATCCTTATCACAGAATGATTTGACAGTCGAGACCAAGCGGCAGTTGAACCCCTGCCAGTGTGTGAAGCACTCACTTTCGCCCGCTTCCATCCTGGTCTGAAACTTTTTCTATCTTGTGTGATTTAATAAGATGACATGAACGTAGCAGCCTTGGGCCATTTGAGAGATTTGTAAAACTCCTGCTACGGCTACGGCTATGGAGACTGCTACTGCTATTGCTGAAATTATTCGGGCTAGATAAATATTTATTTTATTTTTCACATTTGCCATGTTTTTGCAGGCCCACGCGTTGACACGTCTGCTAAACTGCTGTCATTGGAAATAATTTCAATTTCATTCCGTTGGCTCGATCGAAAAAATCAATAGGCATTTACACCAAATTGACCTTTCACTCACGAGCAAATGAAAATTTCATAAGAAATTGATTGCGAAATCGGGTTGCTGTAAAATCCCTTTGAAATATTGATGCCTCCGATAGTACAGGCAATTGATGCGAATAATTTGTGTGCGAAAAACGACTTTATCGGAGCTTAAAAGTTATTCTGGCTTGAGCATGTACAACATGACGTATGTGTGATAATTAAATGTGTAATTTGAAAGGTTGAATTTATATCGTCATGGTATCCGGTAGCTTTGGATTTTGGGTCTGTCAGTTACAGTATTAATTATGTAGAGTGCTTTTCCTGGTTAACATTTATTTTATTTTTTTAAATTACTCTTTTTCGAAGAGGTTTGATGTTGCAAAAGACAACTTATACTATTTACAATTCAGGAAATAACATTTTAGCACTCAAATTCGGGTTTATTTGTATAGCGGAATAAATAGTTTTAGCTTAAATTCAATTTTCTTGGGCCAATCTAAGCGCTTAAGTAGTTAGAGTGCTTTAAACCGCACAGAATTACGGCCTAGGCCACTTAATAGGCCTAAACCTAATTAAAAACTTATCAACAGCTGCGTAGAATGGCAGGCAGTTTGCTAGTTGCCATTAGCAACGCGAAACCCGTCAAGACCAAACAACTTGGGGCGATTTCTTCAACGGCTAACAAATTGCATTACCAAATTTGGGACCAGGAATTTAAAATGCTCTCCTTGAACTTAAGTTCCGTGGGCCCTTTAAAGCCGCATTCGGAATTAGTCTAGTGGTCGGGGAAAAACTTCAATGGGGCCCTGCGAACACGTCATAACATGTGGAAATTAAAATTTACATCACAACTTAAGCGACGTCCTGGCTCAGGCCCTCGACCCGTCGAGATCCGTTTTTGCCGTTTTTTTTGGCCGCTCCTTTTTGGCAGGCAGAGCACTTAATTTGGCACATTGCCGTGCATATTCTGGCAGCGAGACGACGACAACAATCCGCCCAGGTGCAGCCACGGTGGCGACAACAAGCAGCATTTTGTTGTACAATGCATACATTTTTTACAACCTGCCAAAGGAGACCTAGCAGCAGAAACACAGCCTGTGTTGTCAACTGCAGCTAACGAAAATTAGCTAAAATGTGTGTCATATAATATTATATTACAAACTTATAGGCAAGAACCTGTTCGAGCGATAAAAAAACATATTATAATTATTATTAATATAATATAATAAAAGATTAAAGAAACAGCGCGAAAATAGTCGTTGGGCTTAAAAATGTAACTTATGTAATTCTGTACATTCATTTTATAAAATTTTTTTTTTTTAACCGTATTTTCACTTGCTCACTTAACTTCAGTGATAGTTGTCTCCCTTTCTTATAATCTACAAAAGAATTAAGAGGGCATAACTCTTAGAACTCACAATTTCGTTCTACTTTATGGTTTGTCAATAATCGCAATAAAATCATTTTTTATAACTAATATAATATGTTTTCTTTAATTTTACGTAACTTTAATGACCAACATATATTTTTTAAGACTCTGACCAAAGCTTTGTTCATGATCAGTAAATAAAATAATACATCTACTAAACATAAGGTCAGATAAGGTATCTTATCCAATTTTAAACTGCATTTAGCTAGAAAGAAGCCAAGTGCTCACCACTGACAACAGCAACCGAAATCGCGGCAATGGTCATAAAACTTATACCTTCGCTACGAATTACCAGGCCGCAACTAGCCGCAGCAACAACACCGTGGAGAGGTGGGCGCAGGGGCGTGGCGGCAAATAAAATTACGCATGCAATGGCAAAATAAAATATGCATCAAAAATAAGCTGCAGCTGAATCCGAGAGGTGCAAAAAATGCCATAGCTTACAGCAAAAAATATTTATATAAAAGTAAATAAAGGAGCCAGGACTTTTGGGTTCGTTAAGCTCTGCGGGTTTGCAATGGGAGTGATGCGGGTAGATAGAAGGTCCATGGACTCAGTAGGTAATTCTGCGGCATGCATTAAACATTTCATGTCCCATAGAGATCTTAGAACTGTTTGTGTGCAATTAGTTTTTGTATTTTTTTTAGAGGGCATCACAGCTTCGGCTTGTCATTATGAATTCTGCCCGCGTTGCCGCTGTTTTATGTTAATTTCCACTTTACGCTCGCCGGCACAAACACAAACACAAATACAAATATGAATATGAATGTAGTCCAAACAAGCGTTTGTGAGAATTTTCACTTAAAATATATTTTATTTCGTGAGGGCCCGGCAGCAGCTGCTGCTGCCCTAAAAGCTTTAAGAGCCTCGCGCGTTCCGCACGAAGCGTATAAAAAATCAACTAATTTTCATTTTATGCTGCAGCAGAAACAATTTTAATTCAAGACAAGAGCGGCAGTCGCACTCAGAACACACCCCCCCCCACTAACAGCCTCTAAAATTTTAATAGCTCACACATTATAAACGCAAATAAACGCCTCTGCCGGCATTCCTTTGAGCACTTTCGTCCTGCTGCCAGTTCGCATTTCGATGTACATTTGCCTAGAGCAGCTTAGGTTGTTTGTGGCATGTGCACTTAGGGCGGGGCACCGGATTCGCGGGGCGGCGGAATGGAAGGAAAGTTTCCGAGTTTCCCGAGCCACCCCCCAGTTTCCCAGCGTCCAGCGCACACTTTAGGGGATTTTCCTTTTCTCACGCCCCGCCTGCAACTTAAAGGCACTAAAGTTGCACAGAATTAAGCATACTTCCAGGCACTCAGCGGCATATTATGTTTATCATTATGCTTACACTATGGGTATATGGGTATATGGGCCCTAATGTTGCCGTTTTCTTGGCCAACGGCAGCTGCTGCCCGGAAAGTTCATTCCGGCCAGAAGGTGAGTGGCGAGGGGAAATCATAGCACTGCACAAACTTTTTAATTGCTTTTAAAGTTTCGCAAATGTTGCGCAACATTTTGGCTATCGAAAACAAATACCGAAGGGGACATTTTTTATTTTGAATAAATTATTACTAAAAATACTCTAAACGGATCTTAATAAAAGCAGGAAAGCAACGCAGTTTGGCTTCCACTTGCGTGTTGTTTATTAACTTTCATGTACTCTTATATGCAGCTTAATTGCTTTTTAATATAAGAAAAAGTTTGCACGAAAACAACAGCTGCCAAAGGGAAATTGTGAAGGAAACCAACGAATAAATTTGTTTTTCATATTGTTTGTTTTCGGTTAAAGAAATAACGACAGCGCAAATTTCTTACAAATGTTTCGGATAAAACGAAATTATGCTTGGTGCTATATTGAACATTCTTTTTATTTTAAGTAACTTAAGGTGCATTTTATTGTGTATTAAAAAATGGCAGGCTTTTTAACCCCACACTAATCAGCAGTCATTCTATTATCGTAAATACATATGCTGTATGTTCCCCTTCCGCTTTTCAGGTCCATTCAAATGCTGCAAAATCCTCTTCTTTTTGTCTCATCTTTTTATTGCCCTTGCGTAATGTTTAATTATACGCTGGCTGATGACGTCGTGATAGCTTTTCCAGCTTCCTTCTTCTTTTTTTTTGGCGCATAAACATAACGCAGTTTATATTTTATTTATTTTTCCCTTTTTATTTTGGCTCTTTGCTGCTCATTTTCGGGCGGGAAACCCGGCTAAAAACCAATCATAAAAACCGTGCCGTAGCCCAGAGTCTACCAAACGGTTTTATGACATTTTCCTGCCGGCGTGATCCCACCAAAGCCACGCCCTAACGCCCCAACGCCCCCGGCTATCCACACATGCGGACGGGTAATTTGCCATAAAAAATTGGAGCACAGGCTCGTATTTGTGCAATTTCACAGAAATTGTCAATTTGCACTCCCCCGAAGTCTAAGCCGGAATGATGATGACGAGGAATGTCGGCTTTCCAGGACGAAGGGTTCTGTGTTTTACAAGTAGATAAGAAAGGAGCACGCAAATACGCGTTGATATTTTTATGTGTCTACTCTGTGTGCATCGGAAAATCGACTGTTAACATTTAACGCTGCAAATTTAACCGCATTTATGTGTTCTTTTCGGGTTCCCTGGCTTTATTTGATTTTCATTTAATTTCACACACTGGCTGGCCCTTAAAAATTGGCATAACAATTACGCCGGAAATAGGCAATGACAGTTGAGTGCAGAGGAGTGGAGTAGAGTGGAGTACTGTGGGGGTGCTGTAAATACCGGACTCCGAGGAGAGTCCGCTCGGGATGCGACTATTTGCCATCTGCAGTGCACTAACAATGGGCTGCCTCAATGGCACGTAATTGCAGTGCACACAGTCGCAGCGCGCACAGTGGGGCCTATTGCTGGTAATAGACCCAAAAAAGTAATTGGTATTGCTGTCGATGGTTTTAAGAAACAACGCCAACTAGAATTTTTTTAAAAAAATTGTAAATAACTCAAGTCCACAATGAGAAATGTATTAGGGAATGTACTGCCAAAGAATTTTGAAGTGTTAAGTCCGGCTTAAAAAATTATTACACTTTAAATGATTTTATAAGGGAACACACGCACAGTTTTAATATTCTTAAATAGCTATAAGACTTTGCTTTCATTAGGAAAAATAACTTAAGTATAAATCATTCGATTTCAAAGGAATATAGAACTAAAGAAAAAACAGTCGAACTTCGACTTTCCTAAGACAAATTCTATAGATCGAACCAAACTGAAATATATATATTTTTATCTAAACCGAAACACAATGGCTTCGATGCAAAGATAAATAAATTAAACCTACTAAAATATATATATATTTCTCAAACACAATGGTTTCGGTACAAAGAAAAAAATATATATTTTTTGGTAGGTTTAATTTCTTCAACATAAACTCTCGATAAATTGTTATAAATTTTATAGAAATCACCTAATAAGATAAACGATAAACGAACGGGGACAATATTGAACTCCAAAATCTAAAAGTCCCATTTTATTTAAAGTCTTAAATTTCAGTATCATCCCACGGTATATCCAACTATTGTACGGCAGTGCAACATATCCTTCCGTTTCCGTGCGTCAAGGAGACGCTTTTTCTCCTCGACTTGCCGTCGATGATGTTGCAACTTGCAATCCAGCTGCAGTTGTTGTTGCTGCTGCTGTGGATGCCTCTTCAGACCGCCTTTGTTGTCGCTGGCCGTGTGAATGAGTGCAATTAGCAGAGCCACTTGCCCTCAACGATGTCGTTTTTGTTTGTGTCCGGCTCTGCTGCTGATCCGTCGAGCGACTTGCATTAAAAATTAATTGTCCCCTGTCTGAGCACCAGTCTCCTCCGCCTGCATCTGCATTGACATTGTTTCGGGTCGTGATTGCGCAGCACAAAAGTCGATTAAACAAGAAAATTGTCGAGCACGAAGTGGACAAGGCTGCGTTGTCTTCCAAATTATCGAAATATTTTCCCCGAAAAGCTTCTGTAAGCAATTCAGTTTTGTTCTTGAATACGCAATAAATACATGGAAATTGAATGCGTTAAAATATCTCAGTTAAGACCCCCGTCGGCCTTCAAGAAGGATTAGCGACCTGAATTCCTGTATTGGGATTTCTTTGGGGCTGAGCAATTTTTGATTAAAATTACATTCGCTGCGGCCTTTGAAGTGTTGGGCCTCGGACGTCTGCTCTCGTCCCTTAACCGGAATTTCTCGGCCCGGTCAATATTTTGCCAGCTTAGGCAACGCACGTGAGCTGGGCCAGAGGACTGTTTGGATGAAAAATCCTCTGCCTCGGCCAAACTACGGATGGTCACGTTCACGGGGCTTCCTTCTCTGCGGGATTTCGTACCTTTTTGTGGACCGGCCTTTGGGCCGGCATAATTTGCTGGCACTGGCACTGGCACTGGCCACGTTAAGGTCCGGTCCTGATGGATTGTTTGACTAATTAATTTTGCTAGAAAATTTCAGAAATTGCATTTGGCCCGGGCCAAAGTTATTAAATTTTTAATGGACGCTTAAAGGGCCGAAGGCGCTTTATGTGTTTTTATTTCGCCCTTGCCGGCAACCAGCTGTTTAGCATTTAAAGTGATTTTCATTTGGATTTTTCCTTAATGCTATTACGTTCTGTTCGTTTTCCCTCCGTTCGCTTCCTTTGCTCTCGGCTCTCAATTATTTAGCCATTGACAATTAGAGACTTTCGCAGATGCTGCCGCACCTAATGCTATTTCGCCTCATTATTCTCAACAATTGTTCATTCTGCAGCGATTTTCTTGGGGAATTAAATCTGATTCATTGAATTCCTTTGACCCCATTATCGCTCACTCCTCTGTGTGGTCGAGTGTCGCAATGAATCGGGTGAAAATAAAGAAAAAATGTTGCTATAATTTCATTAAACTGGGATTTATTTCTTAGAATTCAATGTATCGTACTGCTAAAATGTTTTGTAATATTGACAAGTGTCTGGCTTCTGGATTTTTGTCTGCTCATAAATACTTCTTAACGAAGAAAAAAAGATGAGAAAGATTACTTCAATATTTATAAGAAGCTCCAATATTAGATAATTGTAAAGTATTATTCGTGTTAATAGAAAATTGCTATCGTCACTACATTTTTAGCTCGCCTAGGGCTGAATTTTTAATGTCATGTTAAGGCTCAAAATTGTATTGTTTTCAATAAGATTTGAAAGCTAAGAATTTCAATTTCGATAAACAGAAACTGACCTGTAAACCTAACATGACATTTAGAAAACGTCTCTAAGGGATGATTTCGTTTGAAAAACTTAAAAACAATCATATAGCAAACACAGAAAACTTTATCGGAGTAAGAAAAGGTCTAAAACAGAGTGTAATTGTCGTCAATTCAATTGTCGTACTGACTGACAGTTCTACGTTTGAAATGGACGGTTGTCAACGCGCTGGCAAGCGAGTCTGCCTTACTTACGTGCTTTCATTTGTGCTGCTTTCGGCCTTTTTTTACTACCTAATGGCGCACAATAGCAGGAACAACATGGGAATAGTGCGACTTCGCGAGGATGTGGATGATATATCGGTGAGTCTGTCTATTTAACGCTTTCAGAGGAAACACTGACCCCGTTAATTTTTCCCAGCATATGCTCCGCCAACAGCAGATGGAAAGCAAGGGAGCCCAGATCTCGAACTGCCTCGGCGGAGAACCAAAGGGAATGGGCAGCGGATCGGGCAGGTGCGACAACCGGGAGGTAACCGCCTATGTGGACACTCTGTTCAAGCGCAAGATGGGCCATCTGATGGACGACGTGTACAACCTGAAGAAGCAGGTGATGAGCGCCGACTGCTCCGCCCGAGTTGGCCAATCCGCTCCCAAAAGCGAGACCGTCTCGGTGGGCAAAGCCCGCATAAACTACGCTTCCGAGGAACTGGGCGCCAGGATCATCGACGTTAAAGCCCCGCCCATCGGAGGCACCAATGTTATCAAGACGCTCCTTGGCCTGGACTTCAGTGCCAATCCTCCCGTGAACATGCTGCGTCCGGCCCTCACTCCAGGATCCTGCTTCGGATTCAGCGGCAGTCGGGCCACGGTGATCCTGCACCTGGCCAAGTCCATCGTCGTGGAGGCCATTTCCCTCACCCACGTGGCCCGCGAGATGACCCCCACCCTGTGCGTGAAGAGTGCCCCCAAGGAATTTGATGTGTACGTGAGTACGGATCGACAAGGTCATCCATTCCGCAGTAACATCTCCTTTTTTGACCAGGGTCTGCTACTGGACAATTCCAAGCGAGAGCTGTTGGGACAGTGGACCTTCGATAACGCGGCCAACAGGCGCTCTCAGACCTACAGTGTACACCACAAAGGCTTTTTTCGGAGGCTGGCCTTCAATTTCAACTCGAACCACGGCGCGAATTCCACCTGCATTTATCGGTGAGTAGTTAGAACGAGGAAAGTGGCCTAAAAACTAAGCTCTCTTCTCATTCGCAGTATTGAAGTGTTTGGGAGACTGCAGAAACATGACTGATTTCGTGCTTACAACAATAATATATTTTGTTAATTATTTTTTAGCCTTAATAAATATTGATTGTTTAAGTTAAATTGTGTATCGTTAAAGTACTAAACGGAAAGTTTATTGATTAAGGTTTTTTTCACTTTGCAGACAAATTACTGAAAGAACTCACATTCAGATTTCTTAGCAAGATCCCATTTGAAGCTTAAGCTAAAAGATTCCGACATTTGAGAAATTAAATTAAACAAGATTTAAACTTGTCGTCCGACAGCCAAAGATAATATAACAATGTATAGATTAGGTATTAGAAAAAATTATCTAAAAATGGTTCCAAGGTAATATATAAACTGGAAGCCTTTTATTAATTAATTAATTTTTCCCAAATGTAGATTATAATCAGCTAATTCCCAAAGGATGTAGTAATTTTGACATTTTTGAGGTCATTTTGGTTTTTGGTATAATGTATAGTATAACAGGTAATGTCATCTCATCTTAATAAAATTTAAAAATTTTATTTTGTAAATTTAAAATTTAGTTTTAACATATGTCCACAGGGATAAGATAACCAAAACCTTTAAGCAAGGCCATACATAAATCCATAAAAAAGCAAAGGGAGGAGTTATATCTTCTGTTTGCAGAATGTTCCCCTGCTAAACGGTGCAACTAATTTTAATTTCGCAGCACGGCCAGCTTGTAAAATTTTGGGATCCCCAAAGACTTGTCGCATTCGCTTTGATCTTTCACAAATGCTGTTTTCGTTTAATTTCGCTCGACCTGAATGCAGAGGGGTAAGCATGGCATAAAAAATGCCGCCCAGGGACGAAAAAAAAGAGGACGTTGAGTAAGGAGGAGGACCTGAGCGGCGGTCTCGAAGTCAACCGTTTGATCTGGGCCCCGGGCACAGTGTCACATTGTCCCTGCCCCGGGACTAATTAGCGCATACAGGAGGTGCCCCTGCACATGCGTTTAATTAGTCGACAATATGCTCAGTTGTCATCTGAGATTACACGGCGTTCGATGGGGAATTCTGCAGCCATCTGCAGGGAACCATGTGCCCAGAATTGTTTCATTTGATTTCGATTCGTTTGATTTGATTTAATGCGATTCCATTTGCGACTAGGAATTCGTTTTCGTAATTTTCAATGGTGTGTGTTCCGAGTACACACACGGGAGGACATGAGCACAAAAGTCTGATTGTCTAAATGTGAATGTCGGTGAGTTTGTGTGGGAGTTGTGCTTGATTTTGTTTGCGCACAAATTTATTTCCGTTTTTCTTCTGACGAGAAGGGTATGGGGAATTTTCGGCGGATTTGGATAAATTAAAGAAAATGTTTTATATTGTTGAACAATTTCTTCCAAATACACACATATTCCATCAATGTTATTCAAATTTGGCTCATTGAAGGTAAGGGAGACATATAACGAACATTTCTTATTTACAAAGCTTGAATGTTTACAATTGACTGAGTTTAAGACAAACTTGAGAGACTTAACTTATTTTTTAAGCGAAATATTCAATGAGTTGATCAAATAATTCTAATAAATTAACAGAAATTCATAAAATGTCTTAAAATATATAAAACTTTGTTAATAATTTTGTAATAAAAATGTAAATGTCAAGTTAGTGCATTTAATATTCGTTTTCAAACGGCTTAATTATTTCCGTTTTCTTTTTCGTTGCCAGCGCAATTGTGGCTTGTTTACACGGCAGCCAGCGTTTCGTTTCATTCTGCGGTCTGCGCTCTAATTGCGCCTCGGCAATATATCAGAGTCCACCTCCCCCAAGCACCACCCACTCGACACACACACACACACCCACCTGAACCAACACCCACCAACACACACTCATGTATGTAGATAGCTCCCCACTTTGGGTTTTTGCGCTTTTTGCGCTATTTCTTAGCCAGCTGCTGCCGTTTTGCCATTTGCTTACGCGTTAAAGCTGACAGGTAAAATGGATTTGTTACGGCAATAGAACAGGTACTTGAAGTGGGAGGGGGGGGAGGGGTGTTGGGCAGGCCAAGGATGGGGATTTCGCAGAGCTGGATGGAAAATGCATGACAAGTGAGAAGATAACCCATGTGGTCGTGAAGGTGCAGCCGGAAAATAACTTGAATGGTCTCGGGTAATATTTAACGGAAATCCCTACTGTGAAAATCCAGAGATCTTGATATTTTAAGCTACATTCAAGTTTAAATACCCAAATGTTCTAATTAGTAATGTATACTTCTTATATAGACTTTTATAATAAAACACTTATTCTTACTTAAAACTTTTTTGTTAGCCAGGACATGCATTTATGTTTTCGTTTAAAAAAAGCCTCAGTTTAAGTACCTATGTAAATCAATATAAAATATATAATAGGTTATGACACTTTTTAGCTAATTCTGCCGTTACAAAGTTCAATAGAAAATTTAAAACTAATATTGCTTAATTACATTGTGCAACATTTTAAGCGTTTTAAAATGTAACTGCATTTTTAAGTTTATATTCTGAAATTATGTTTATATTCTAGCTTATATATTTCTGGTTTTCCTCTCGTTTAGATATTACAGCTACTTAAAGCTTTGAGAAACAACTGCTATTTTTTAAAGAACAATTGGAATTTTATGTTCATTATTATTATTTTAGGATGGGCCAAGGTAACAAAATGCAAAGAAAGTTTCCACCTGTTACACGCATCTCAATGAATACAGTACGGTGAAAAAATGTGGTAATCAGAAAGTTTATCTAATTGGTTTTACTTGTGACAATCAAAGCCTAAACAAGAGAGAACGCTATAGTCGGGTGCCCCGACTATCAGATACCCGTTACTCAGGTAAAGGGAGTGCGAGGGAGATGGAGATAGAAACTTTGATCACGCATAACTTTTTAACGAATGGTCCGATTTGAAAAATTTCTTCTACATTTCGATAGGTATTGATCAACACAATAAAACTGAATTTTTACTTTTCCGAAATATTTAAATTTTTAAAATCGTATATAAGCGATTGTGGGCGTTAAAGGGGGCGTGGCACCTTTTTGAAACAAACTTGCGCTGCGTAGGAACTCCTAGAATCTGCATGCAAAATGGCAATATTCTAGCTTTTATAGTTTCCGAGATCTCAGCGTTCATACGGACAGACAGACAGACGGACAGACGGACAGACGGACATGGCTATATCGACTCGGCTAGTGATCCTGATCAAGAATATATATACTTTATATGGGCGGAAACGCTTCCTTCTAGCTGTTATATACTTTTGCACGAATACAATATACCCTTTCACTCTACGAGTAACGTGTATAAAAAGTTAGCGTTATATGAATCTTTGCTTTCCTCAAAAGGTGTTGTCTTTATACCAAGCGGTCAGTTGTTTTGGATAATTGTATTTTTCAATGGCTGAATATGAAAGTTTAACCTTTTTCCAGAGCTATGCTTTTTAGCCTGAATATGGACTTTTTGGTAAGTTGAAAAACACATTTGAATAATGAGAGCGCTGAGAGCTGTTGCAGTTTGCTGAGTGCTCTGTTCCATTGTTGCTAGCTGGAAGCCAAAAGCTGAAAACTGGCGAACTGGCAAACTGGCAGCTGGCAGGCAGCTGCTGCTCCTGGCTGACGTCCTGAATCCTGACAGGACTGCGCTGTCTGCTGCCCGCCACTGACATTTTGGGATTTCGGGCTGAAAATTTGAGTATGCATGCTGGATGGGCTGGCTAACAACCAGAGCAATAATAATGGTAAGCACTTGCTGTCGGAGTCGAAAAGTTTTGAGTTTGTGCTAATTATGCCGCCAGGAGTTGGGCACTCTCGCATTCGCAATGCAAGGAGCTTGGACTGGCAGCTAATTTTTGCCAGCTGTCAGCGCTCTCCATATAAATCCCTCAAAGTCAACAGCACTGCACCCACGTGACACATCAATTCGCATTCATGTCTGTCGGTGGCACACGCACATACCCGTATGAGTACCCGCATGTGAGCCTGTGAGTTTGTTCATATCCATCATATTGCAATCGTCGGCTGTGTCGCCGCATGCAACGTCGCTTATCGCTCAGCTCTGTAATGATGGCAGCAGACCCGAAAGTCCCCCACGGGAAACCCATCCCGAGCCATCCATCCATCTCCTCGAACTGCTGTTGTACATTTTTCATAACGCAATTCATGTTATTCATGTGCCAGCGACAAGTCTTCGTGCCCCTTGGATCAGACTTTGTGGCACAAAGAGATGGAGATGGAGGTGCACAGTGGTCGGAGATTGGCAGTTGTGCGACAGCCGAATTGATTACTTTTCTGGCGGGGCTGCTCACCCCCTTTTTGGGGCAGTGCACTTGGCTGCAGACAAAGTTGAGCAGGGGATTTAATACAGAAGAGTTCTTTGAAATTGTTGACAAAAAGGCTTATTTTAGAACTTTTTTATTAGAAGCGTGTAATTTCGAGTTTATAAATAAAAGTATTCGTTTAGAGGAGGACACAATCGGTTCCAACACATTGCAACATCCAACATTGTTAAAAATCTAAAAAAATTAAATAAAAATGTAAAAAAAATGTTTAGTTTGTGCTAAGGCGAAGCTTTAAACATAAAACTACTATTCAAATTGAAAAAATAGCTTAGTCTTGAATATATAGTGATAAGACCGATAGTATTATATTTATAGTGCTAACAAATGTTTTGCCAACACTATTTTATATCGGTTTTATTTAAGTTTAAAGTAAATACATTACAACATTCTAATTTGACACTCCAAAGGAAAACATAAAAACCAATGCTAGACTAAACTTGCTAGTTTAAAGACTAAAGAATAGTATTTTGCGGGGAACACAGCCATTACTCCAGAGCAGCAGTAAAGTAATCAATTTAATATCTGCCCATTTCCATTTAATGTCTCCACATTTCGGATATTTATGTCGGCAGACTATTACATGCGCTCGCCCACTGTGCGATGTCATAAAAATTGTCTCATTAATCATCACACGACATGCCGGCTCCCTCGCACCGCCCCCGCCCCAGCCACGCCCCCGTCCACCAAATAACCCCTAGTTCTGGCGTTCTTGTTCGCAATGTTCCCCCACTCAAGGAGCTATTTCTGTGCTGTTTGCAGGAAACATGGACTTAGTGTGAAAATCCAGCGAGCAATTAAATTGGCTCCCCCTTTTCCATTTCCATTTTATTCCCTTGTTCAGATTGGGATTCCGATTCGGATTCGGATTCAGATGCAGCCCCTCGAACAAGTGCAGGCTGCATAAATTAAAGAAGTCGGCCCTTCGTGGAAACGGGAGTTTTATTTTCACTGTCGTGGCATTTTAAATTGTCTGCGCCATATTTAAAATAGCAACTAATTAATTTATTTTTTCACGCCGTGGCTGGGAAGTGCGCATTAATAAACAATTAAGTCGTTTTAATTGCAGTTTGCCTTGTGGATTATAAATTTCCGAGTGAAAATCCCCCAGCACCCATAATGAGCAGGAGCTCCCAACTAAATTCGTTTATTATTGATCAGTTTGGGCCATAAGCTGCTTAACTTTCCGAAGCGCCAAGCCACCCATGGAGCCCCATTTCAAGTCCCCTCGCCGAGGCTTTCAATGGAGTCAGGTGTTCGAGCCCGTTGCGAGGCATTTGGCCAATTCCTGGAAAATGAGCTGGGTGCTGCTCACTTTGCTAAGCCGAAAATCAGCCACACACTCTACGTTGCACACGTGGTGCATGGCTTTTGTAATTAAGTTCGTTGAGGATGTTGACATTTATCTTATTTATTTTTCGCTATCCCGTAAACTTTACATAAAAATAGCCATGGCAACTTGTCAAGTTTCAAGGTGTTATAAAGGCTATTTCTTTTCCGACAAATTATTAAATTTTTTGGGCTTCTGGGAATCTTCTTTAAATCGAAGCCCATTAATTTACATACCTTTCAAGAGCTTTCCAAGTAGTTTGCGGATCTGAAAGTAGAAGACAAGAGAGTTCATTTTAATAAAATAATTAATTCAAAAAAATATCTTCAATCCACCCGGACTGACAGTCAGTTTTTTCCTGCAGCATAAATTCAAGACTTGGCGGACAAAAACATTCGCTGGCATCTTGGCCAAGTTAATATGATGGGACACGTTAAGCAGGCTTGAATGATGAGTATCAAGGACGAAGAGGAAAAAACTAGCAACTGTGTCAGCAGAAAATAGAAACAACAGCAGAACAACAACTCAGTGCAATGTCTGGTTGGAAAAAGGAAAAAAGGGAAAAAAGGACAAGGACGAGCGGAAAACCAAATGGGAATGACGATAGACATTGAACACGAAAAGGGAAAATGGAGCGAAGACATTAGCCTGAAATGACAGCAACAAGATGCGAGATAGACACTTGGCTTATATCTGTTCCGTCCTGTCCTGCGAAGGAGGCTCCGCCTTCTACATCTCCACCCCCACTTTGCTCCGAAAACAAAAGCAACTTGCAACCAAAAGGCGTCGAAAGTGCGTGCAACAAATTGAAGCCAACTCGGTGAACAACAAATGCCAATTGACAGACAGCTCTCCGAATGGAAATTTGGCAGAGCAGAAAGTCGTAGATTTTCAAAACAGCTGTGAAAACATGGTTTTGCCAGTAAATGAAGAGGACAAGATTTTAAAATAGAAAACCATTAGGAACTTTGCTTACAAAAAAGAAATTGTACATACCAGTTTTATTCACTTTTGGTGTGTATTTGAGAGCTTGTATAAAATTCTTATTCACATAACAATGTGATGTTTTAAATTTCTGGTTTAAATTGATTTTTATTTTAAAATACCTAACCTGTTTAGAAATCACTGTTAATTACGCTGCAATAATTCATTCGTTTCGAGATAAAAAATTAGGGCTCTTTGGAAATCGAATTAAATTTAAAAAAAAAAACATGCCATTAAGTTGCATTAGTTATTTAGTAGATATCCTTTTTACAAAGGCGTTTAAAGTATTCGACTTCTAGTTTACAAAATGCTCGGCCTCATTGCGAGCCCATTTCAACCATTCAAAGCAGTTTTTGTTGAGAGTGTGCCAAAGCTGGAGTCTTAGCAAGCAATCTGTAACATGTTGCCAGTTTGAGTTTTCTATTGAAAACCGTTTTTCTGGCCCAAGGACAGCTGGCTTGGCCTACATCCTTGCATTCGCATTCGCAATCGCATTCACAGCCACGCACACACAGGGACTTATTCATCACTCACTCACTTAGTCAGCGTGCCGCCCAAGGATCGATGCAAAGGATGCAAGGATGCGAAGGGATGCTGCTCGGGAGGATGGGACTCGAAGACGATGCTCCTCCTTCGAGTTGCTCCTCTTCTGGCCAGGCAACTACAACGCTTCCAGCTGGCATAAGGCTTTTATTTCCCATTTATAGCGGAGTCCTAAGTGCAGATAGAGAAATGATTTTCAAGCCCCTGCTTTAGTTTAAATATTTATGTAAGCGCGCATTTTATGAGAAATATTTTGCAACTGCTCCGCAGGCCCGCACTCCAGTATTTTGCTTTTATTATTATTGAAATGGGCTCGTACTATGCAAAAACGAAATTATGCCAAGAATTTTTATCTTTTTCAACTGCACTTTGGCAATGAAGTTTGTTTTTGGCCCATAGCCTGAACATTTAAGCATTTTCCATTGCATTTGTGGGATTTTCCTGAAATTATGCAGCTTGTCGGTTATATTCAACTGCTAATATAATTTTGGCAAAATTGCTATGGAAATAATAGCATATTTACAATTGGAATATGTGTAAATGTTTTTTTCTAACTATCAGAGTAATTAAGAACTGCATAAGTGACTACAACATAACCAATAGTTTTCTGAATGTTATTGCCTGAAGCTTTCATTATTAAACATGACAACAATGAAAATGATTGCAAGACCTTTAGAGGCACACATAACATGGCTTCACTTAGATCTCCCAGTTCCAGCCGCAAGAATTCAGTTGCAAACAATACTCCACAACCAAATTCAAATCTATTTATATCAATTTACCCACTTCAGTGCCGACCTGACATACAATTTCCAGCAGAGACCCCAGACTCAGATCTCGTGGTTGAGCAATTTTTCAACAGATAAAATCAAGACCAAACAAATCAAATCAAATGCAGACAACAGCACAAAAATGTTACACACAGAACACAGAACACCCGAACACACCCACACGTGGCAATGGCAACTAAAGAACAGTAGGAAACAACAATAACAGCCAACAACAAAAGTAAATTAATAGAAAACAATAACAATTCCCTTTATTATTATTACTGCAGTGAGTCGAGGGCAGACATCGAAGTGAAGTTCCCTGGGAGAGATTCGAATTTGTTTCGCCTGCCGTTTGCTGTTTGCTGTTTGCCGTTAGCTGTTTGTTGTTGGTTGTTTCTTGTTTGTTGTTCGGTAAATGCCCAAGTTTCTGGGCTCTGAAGTGTCTGTGCTTGTGCATGTGATTTACTCAACGGTATGTACATAAGTAAAATACAAATCATGTTCAACGCTCGGCCTTGCCCCAAAAAGTGAGCCACACTCTTTGACACTGGCCCACGGGGCGGATGCGTGACGGGGGAATATCTGAGGTTTGTCCCGGCAAATGGCTCAGTTCCTCCACTCTCTCCGTGTACTTTTCTCTTTTATAAACTCAACAATAGGGACCAAGAAATCAGGCTGAGTGAAAAAGAACATGAAAAAGCAATACAAATATAAAATACCCTTACCTATTTTAAGCAGCTCTAGTTTTTTTTAGTTAGGATTCCAAACAATAAGAGCAATTTAATTTATACTCCATCAACGGACAACAAAATATAAGATTTTAAAGTATATTTCCTTTCTTTAAATTTAGATCTGTAGAGGTATAGAATTTGGTTGGTTAAAAATTAAAAAAAAATCATTTCAAGAAACAACTTTAAGATAATTTATTCAAGACTTAATGTTTCTGCACAAAGAAACTTTTTAGCTATCTTCAACTCTGGGAAAGTGGCTTGCATTTAACAGTTTAATGATGATTAAAGAAAAAATATATATACTTCGGATACGTATTTCACCTTCCGGGCGTGGCGAACTTTTTAGAAAAACTTATCACACTCTCTGCAAGAGTACAAACTGGAGAAAGAAAATATCACAACAAGCAAAGTGGGATAAAAGTCTCTCAAGAAAAACTTTTGCCAGGTGTTTGTTAGTGAGTATCTGTGTGCGCCTAAAAGTGTGCATGTGTTTTTGTGGCATTACGTGCATTGCATGTCGAATGTTTGTAACAAAGTCTGAAAAACATCAAGCACAAACATGGAGCAACGGCAACTTTATCTAAAGTACAACATTCCCCAACCTCTGCTCAGATATTTCATGTTATTTTCCTGCCTGATTGGTGGGCTCCCTTCGTCGGTTGTTTTTGGCCAGATTTCACCTGCTTTAAGCCGAAAACGAGACTCTGCTTGCTGCCGCCACACATGCCACTTTTTTTTAAGTCGACTTTTATTTATTTATTTTTGGTTGGGTCCGTGTCGTGTTTTGGCCACCTTGCAAATGGCTCGCCAATGATTTTTAATGCGATTTCCGAAGCAAAAGAAAAACATCACAACCTGCACTTACACCCGGCACACGAGCCCATTCGAGGGGCTTTGGCAACCTTTTTTAAGTGGCTGGCCAATGAGAGTGGGTTCGGTTCGGTTTCTGATTCTGGTTCTGGTTCTGATTCTGGCCCTGTTTCGGTTTCGGTTTCCGTTTCCTGTTCCGTTTCCGAGATAATGTTCGCCCCCGTTCGTGTGAGTGCGTGCAAGTGACTTTATTTAATGCCATTAACGCAAATTGAAAGTTTTACGCTTTTCCAGCGGCCGTTGCATGCGCAATTGAGTTTTTCGGGTCTCTGCGTCGTAATGCCCTCTTTATGACATTTCATCGCATGGAAATGGCTCTGCGCATTCAGAATTTTGGCCACGACCCCAGAAAATCCTTTTGCCCATTGAAAGCGTGGTATAATTCACTTCGCCTCTCATTATCCACACACACACACACTCACACTCGTTAGCCAAATCCCCCACGAGCCGTGCGTCACACGAAAATGGTAAAAGTAGCCGGAGTCATTCATGGTTTCTATAGCCACTCTATGGCTAAAAACCAAGGACGAGATCTGGCTTTATTGCCAACACTTTGTCGCGACTGTGGAGAACCCATTACAACTACTTAGAGCATGTAAATAAAGCAGAAATAAGCCAAGGCGAGTGACGAACAGGTAACCAGCATAAGAACCAGCCTGGGTGGGGGGTGCTATCACCACCCCTCCAACCACCCACCCATCCAGCCACCCACTCACGCCCCCTTGCACCACCCGCGACGCATTAACATAATCGTTATGGTTATGCGCGACGTGTGCATAATGGCAGAATGGGAGGAAGATAAAGCAGGAGATAGAGATAGCAATAGACAGAACGATAGAGAGGGGTATAGAGAGAAAGATAGAGACAGAGAGAAATATAGAAGGAGAGAGAGATAAAAACAGCGACAGAGACACGAGGATAAACCATGTTAAGTGCGCTGACATTGTGATATATAGTTGGCTTCGCAGCTCTCAAGTGGGAAAGGGGTATGAATGCACCTTGCATGCAAGCTCTTTTTGATTATATCATTATTTAATTTTAGCTAACCACCAGATGGTAGAGCTTTTTAAGATAATGATAAAGACGAGTTGTATGAAAATATAGGGGAGAACAGAAGCTGAAGCAATAGCACAGTGCACCGCGGAAATTGAAACTGAAGTTATATCTTCTGATTTTTAATGTACCTATGCAAACCTATTTTCGGTTTTCTGCCTTAGATTTCTTTATGCCTTTAATCTTACTTTAGGAATGGACACAAATCAGCAAAAAAAGTACAAAAACAAACCTTAAAAATTTGAAAACATTTTTTTATAAATATTTGTTTTGCATAAATACTTTTTTATGTTCATACCTAAAACAATGGCGAATA